AAGCCCATAGAATCTCCATCGAGGGGAGGCCGTTAGGCCACCCGGGTCGGTCTCCAGAACGACCCAGGCATCTACCGGTTGCAGGTAAAGGAGTAGTAGAATGTCACAAGAGGGCTATGTCGACCCCGTCACAAACGACGGACCCGGATTCCACTTGATCATACCCGTTAGCGAACTCACCGAGCGCGTCACTCGAGCCCAAGCGATCGGGACAAGGGACAAAACTCAGCCCCTCCGATTGTGAGAAACCGAGGATGGGGTAACGCACACAACTCAAACCGACCCCTACCAAAGTCCAACGGGGCTCGGGGGCTCAAGACACCAAACGCCCGGGTCTGCGACCCCGAACTCGCCCCATCCTTCGGTTACGCTTCAACTGCACACCAAACGCCAGGGTCTGCGTCCCTGAACTCACCCCATCCATCGGCTATGCTTCGACTGCACACCAAACGCCTGGGTATGCGACCCCGAACTCGCCCCATTAGGATCCATGATCTTCGGCTCGCTCAATCCCTAAAACTAATTAAACTGACTACCTCGGCTGTGCGGGCTGCGCCAAGGCCAGGATCCACGACTCTGACTCGCCTGATCCCATGGCGCGCACCGATGCTAGGACCCGTGAGTTCTGTCTCGTCCGATCCCTAAAGGCTAACTGCCTCGCCCGATCCCACGGCATGCATCAACGCCATGATCCGCGAGCTCCATCTCACCCGATCCCTAAAAACTAACCGCCTCGGCTGCGCAATGACGCCTTGGTTGACAAATCCGTCTCAATGAAAAACACGCACACACCCGCTAACAAACACCCCCACCCACTGACGAAATGAAAACCTCCCCCGCTGGCAACACGAAAAAATGCCCTAGACGATTCTGCCCGAATCGCCCGATGGCTTCGGGGGCTACACCCGCGGGTGCGCTCGCGCGCACCCGCCGTCAAGACAAAAAATCCTCCAGACTATTCTGCCTGAATCGCCCAGGGGCTCGGGGCCTCCTGTCGGGTTCATAAACCCGGGGTCCCTCGCGGACCAACTTCCCAACAAAGGCTCGGCCCAAGCAGACAACGCGTAACTCAGGGGCTGGCCCAAGTATCTGAACAACAGGCCAGAAGGGCGATCCAATCACCGATCGGAAGGTCTGGCCGAGGAGGAGCGACGCCCGTTTTCCGACTCCGGCCCACCTTTCTGACCGGAGGGCTCACTTTGGTCTCCAGCCCGCCTCCGGACGGCCTCTCTAACAGTACTCTACAACCTCTCTGACACAAATAGTGTTGTAGGCGCCGATATTTTCTCTACAGTATTATGGGCGCCATTAACTCTCATACGGTAAGGCTCCCCCACATGCCTCTGGGCATCGATAGTGTTGTGGTCGCCGGCATTTACCGTACCGAGTGAACATGGTGAAACTCCTCACATACCTCTGGGCATCAACAATATAGCAGGTACCGACATTTGCCATACCCGAACAAAACGACGCAACCTCCCACGTGCATCCGACATACAATAGTATTGTGGATGCCTACCATCATCCTGTACCCGCCGCGCGTGGGCAACAAGGCTTAGAAGCATACGTACTCTCTCCCTCTCACTTGTAAAGCCATCCCCTTCATCTATAAAAGGGGATGCACTCTCTCCCAACATTCAAGTGATTCCAGATTCATTAGATCGATCAAGTTTACTAGTTCACAACCACAGAACCGCCAGGTTCGAACATCAAGCACACGCTTGAACACTTAGCTCATAGCGGAGCTCCTATCGCTCTCGGCCCTTCCGACCAGAGTCCGACCGGACCTCTTGTACTCCACATCTTTCTCCTTCTCGTTTGTAACCCCACTGCAAACTTCGAGTACCAGGGCTCAGGAATAAAATCACCGACCGACTCAAACTGGACGTAGGGCACGTTGCCTGAACCAGTATAAACCCCGTGTCATTGAGTGCTAGGCCACCTCCGATTACAACGTACGGCAAAACTACAAATATTTACTTGTTGATCACTTGCTGCACCGACACATAGTTTATTGTATGATTCTCGGACATCACTATCAATGTTTATCAAATTTATTAATTGAGCTTAATCCAAGCTTAAGTGAATCAAATAAATTTTAAGACTCGCCGCCCTTGGATTGCTTGTTTGGTTGGTGGAGAAGCACGGAGAAGAGAGGCGAGTCTGTCCACTCAAATTACGAAAACTATACATATTGTCTAGCTGCTGAACATTTCCTTCGCAATCAGAGAACAAATAATTCAAGCTCGTGTGGTTATTCGTTTCTTATAAATCAAATAAATCAATGTGTGTAAACGTTATCAAGAGAGAAAGATATTAGAAAACTGGTCAAAAAATATAAACAAACTAATTTAGTCGTGCACCAAAATATTTGAATTTTAATTATTTGGTACTTGTATTTTTTTTTGGTTTTTAATTAAAAATGATGTATATGTGCAAGCGAAAAGATACACTAAGATAAACATGTAATATAGAGAAAAAACATTGTTGTTGCCTGAAGCACAACATATCTGCAATCTGCTCACAAAAATCAAACATTAAATTTTTTTTGGAAATGTTTTTTTACTTAAAACTGATTTGTATTGTCATCTAAAGTAATTATGAAATTAGTAGTACTTTTTGTGAAAACGAAATACTTAGAACATTATTTTGATGTATTCTTAATCTGGTGAGGGTCTATTTACAGTTCATTATAGATGGTAAAGGTAGCTGGCTAGTTCTACTAGACTCAGAGAATAACTTAGTATGTGCATATAGAATAAAGGTAGGGGCTAGATTCAGAAATGAGCAATCACTATGCTACGCACTCAGTCCACGAGCCGTGGACTAGCGGGGGGATGAGGGTAAGGTCCACCACGGACCGTGTCCACCTCGAAGGGTTACGGATTCCTTTAATCGTAGTCATAGATCTTAGGATGGACGGTTAAGGATGCATTTATTTATATCTGTATTTAGATGGTATATCTTGATTTATTTTTTAAAAGAAATGGACTTATTTAGGCGTGACATAAGCATGATGTCATCAAGCTAATAAGGACAATTGGAGTGAGGCACACACGGGGCTGCTTGCTTCTTCGCAGCGCGCATGCAATGGGCGGGGGGCGTGCGCTTGCGCGTGCCTACGAGCGGGCCGGATTTTTCGCACGAAGAGAGGCGGACGTGCCCAACGTGAATACGGGAGAGAAGAAAAAGATAAAAAAGAGGAAAAAATATACGGATACGCCAGACAACAAAAAAACAGAATCCAAACAGAGAGCAAAGTTGGACGAAAAAAATGGGTGGTAAGGGATTTTGCCTCTTTATTATTAAGATATAGATATAGATATGATAGACTAATTATATTGGCTTCCTTACAGCGACACCCTTGAGAAAAGCAGAAAATGTATTCAAGTCCTTGCAAGATCTACCGGTTGTCTTCGTCGTTGGCAATCGGACCACCATTGCACGGAGAAGCAGAGGAACACGTCGAGTTTGAAGCTTGAAGCTGACACCCTTCTCGACGAAGAAACTTTATAGTTCTTGAACGACACAACAAACAACATATCAAACTCGACATGCACTTGAAACGTTGAACGAACAAGCCTTACATCACCGATGATAATAGAGGTTGTGTTTAGTTGGGTGAAATTTGGAAATTTGATTACCGTAGAATTTTCGTTTTTATTTGGCAATTAGTGTTAATCATGGATTAATTAGGCTCAAAATGTTCGTCTCGTGATTTCCAACTAAACTGTGCAATTAAAGTTTTTTCGTCTATATTTAATACTCTCCATGCACGTATCGCAAGATTCGATATGATGGCTACTATAGCACTTTTGAAAAATTTGGTTTTGGAACTAAACGTAGCCAGAATCTGACGCCTCAAGAAGTGCAGCCATCTTTGACCCATCCGACGAGAAAATGAATCAAAAGTAGATATAACCTCCGAAGCAGGAGCAACAACACCAAACATGCTAAAGCAGATGTCATCCGAGATTGTCTCGAAGGAGGAGAAGACGATGGACGTCTAACGCATTGTTCGCTTGATCGTTTTTGTGGCTTATAAGTCAATTGATATTGTTTTGTTGTGAGAAAAAAATATTATATCATAAGAGCATCTTCAAGAGTTTGCTATCTCAACTTAGTATCCATATAATTTTGGTAAAACAAGAAAAAATAAGTAAATGCCATCGGACCACCACTCAAACCTAAAATACTACTCCCTCCGGTTCTCTAAATCAAGTCGTTTTGAGGTTGTCTTAAGTCAAACATTTTAAACTTTGACTACAAATAACTTATTTTGGGTTGAGTTTTTATTTTACCAAAATGATGTAAGTAGATTCATCTTTAAATGTAATTTTTTCATAAAAGTATATATTGACTATATTTTATAAATATTTTATAGGAAAAGTTCTAACTGATAAAAGTCGACCGATACGATCAAGCCAGTAACGAGAATAAGTAAATGCCATGGGACCACCACTCAAACCTAAAGGAGTACTATCGTATTAATTAATCTACACAGTAGCCCACCTCTTGTGCGACGTCGGAATGACGCCGGAGGAGCAGGGGCCGGCCAGCTCAACGACAGCTCGAGAATCGCCACGAAATCGCCTTGTGCTTACTGTAGCGTGGGGCCGGCCCAACTGAGTCCAGTGCCGGGCTGGGCCTCAATCATTAGGTCTGGCACCACCCTCCCGGAGGTGCTGTTGGATCCATGGAGATGACGAGAAGGCCTGCCTTCACTGTGGTAGCTAAGCCTGTGCGAAGAGAGGAGTAAAAAAAAGAAAACGAAAAAAAAAAAAAAAAAAAAAAACACGACTGACGATCGAGATACCATGGCCGTTGCATCGTCATCGACTCATCTATCTATCGAAATCGAATTCCATCATCACCAACCGCAACCCATCCACCCACCCCTGCATCCACCCTCTCTCGATTTTTGTATTCCTGCTGGTAAGATTAATTCAATCAACAAACGACGACGACAACAAGTCAGCAGCAACAGAAAACAGCCAAAAATGGTGGCTTTCTTGTTGCCACTGCAGCTGCCAGCTCCTCCTCTCCACACTCGTCCTCTTCCCCATCACCGCCCACCAGTCGCCATCGCCATGGCCTCGGCCTCCACCGCGGACAGCCCCAATCCCATCGTGGTACGTGCTCCATCCCTTCCTTTCACAAGTTCTGATTCGATTCTCCTCCTCCTTCCTTGCTTATCCGTTCACTGCTCACCTCCCCGCCGTCAATTTTGTTGTCTGCAGCTGGGCTGCGGCGCCGCGTCCGTAGACTATCTGGCCACGGTCGCCTCCTTCCCCAACCCCGACGACAAGATCCGCAGCCTCGCCCTCAAGGTGCAGGGAGGGGGCAACACGGGCAACGCCCTCACTGCAGCTGCACGCCTCGGCCTCCGCCCCAGGATCATTTCCAAGGTCACTAGTGTACCCTTCTTCCTTCCCTATATAGTACTAGATCTCTTTCCTCTCAACAGCTAAGTCGGTCCACGGCCTTGCTTCCAATCCAGGTATCTAACGATGCTCAAGGAAGAAACATCCTCAAGGAGCTGCAAGATGACGGCATCGACACATCCTACATGCTCGTATGCATCATGTCACTATGCAGAATTGCTTACAGAGTTACAGGCACTCAATACTACTATAAGAATGTGACGCTTCCTTTTTCCAGGTTGCTGAGGATGGGAATTCTCCCTTCACCTACATTATTGTTGATAACCAAACGTGAGTTCTGAAGGACAAACTCAGTGGCGTTTTTCTTCAATAGCTGATGCATGTTCTTTTTTTTTTTAACTGCTTACCCAGGGTACTCCCCTTTTGCCTCTCAGGAAAACTCGTACGTGTATACACACTCCTGGTTATCCCCCGCTGTTGCCAGAGGAGCTCACAAAGGAAAACTTGTCTGCCGCTTTAGATGGTGCAGACATGGTCTATTTTGATGTGCGGTTGCATGAGACTGCTTTAATCGTTGCAGAAGAGGTAATATTTTTTCCTGCCACATCATCTCATTCTACAGCAAATAAATCCCTACAGTTGTGGTTGCATATAGCCATTTCAGATGCGGCTCCAAATAGCTTAGTTATAGTTCTGTCCACTTTCACATCTGTGACTTCCGCAGTATTGTGTCATACAAAAAGAATCTGGTTATTTTCTCCTTTTCTCTGTGCTGCACTGCTACTGAGACTGATCTTTGTTTATGGGACAATCCAGTGCAGGCAAGTCAAAGAAAAATCCCTATTTTAATTGATGCCGAAAAAAAGAGGGAGGGATTGGATGAGCTTCTTAATTTTGCATCCTATGTTGTATGTTCTGCAAAGTTTCCTCAGGTTTGTTCTATTACAAAAGAGCATAACTACTAAATTCTACGCAATACACTTCCAATTGGCTGTTGTCAAGTTTTATAGCAATTTGCTATTCTTGACCAAATTCTCCATATTATAAATGGAGATGCTTAAATTTACCCTGGCTTAGGCAATAATTTACTCTCTTTATTTACTTCTTTCCATGACATTAGGCCCAGTATCATTTATTCGGAATGCAAACCTGCTTGATCTCTGCTTTACAGTAGTCTCTAGTCTATCTGTTTGTTATGTAACTTGCACCGTCTTGAGTATATTCTATATTGGTATGTACTATGTAAGGCTTTGCCATTAACTTAGAGGAGCAGTTACATCTTAGGTTAAGCTTTGCGTGGTTATATGCAATTGGATTACCACAATTGTTGATTGAGAACCAAATTTCCATCGTGCTGATGTTTTGAACTGATGGCATGTGTTAAGCAGGTTTAATTTGTTGGTATCTTGTGGGTTTTATTCTTTCCACCTAATGTAATTTTGTAGGCCTGGACAGGAGCCTCATCAACACCAGTTGGTTTGGTTTCCATGCTTTCAAGATTACCGAAGATCAAATTTGTTATTGTAACTCTAGGGGAGAAAGGTTGCTTAATGCTTGAAAGAAGCACAATAGGTATGTTTACTCTATCTTTTCATGTCAGTGTTAGCCAAGCATTTACGATAATACAAGGCTACCTGCCATTATGCATTCTACCGGCAATGGGTTCAGTGCTGTTTCTCCCTGCATACCTTGCAGATGCTTCTGAGGCAGACAAAATAGACATAGAGGTACTGTTGGAATCTCTAGAGAAGAAAGTTGATGAGAGCTCTACGACACCAAATTGCATTACTTCCATGGTAGGATACATGGGATGGTCATTCTTTCCCATAGGTCTATTCCTTTATCATCTTATTAAAGCCTTGAATACAGGGTCGGAGCTGCAGTACACTAATATATATAAAGAAAGCCTAAAACACTGCAAAGCTGAAGTTGTTTGGTTTATAACAAAATGTTAATCTGAAATAAGTGGCAGCACACGCATAGAAAATTTTGTTTGTAGACTAACACATTGCCTGGAGCCCTATCAAGCAGCTGCCTGTTTTAAATTCACGACTGATTATTTTGAACAATTTTGAATAGTAAGTTACGTAACGAATTTGTTTCTGCTGCTGTCCTTGTTTTTCAGGCTAATTTGAGAATAAGTGCAGATGAAGTAGGGTCCATAAGTGGCAGGTTACTGCTAGGCACAGCCGAAGTTATACCACCCGATGAGCTCATCGATACAACTGGTGCAGGAGATGCATTCATTGGAGCAGTTCTATATGGTGAGATGGTTGCAATTGCTAACTACTTTGACAGTTTTGAAGTCTATCACATGGACTGATCGTCTTATTTTGAGGGGATAGGTTTGTGCACTGGCATGCCACCAGAGAGGATGCTGCCTTTTGCATCGCAAGTGGTAAGGCATTTCAATTTTTTTTAGTGTTTCTATCTAGTAGATGAAAATATTTGAAGAAAGAAAATGTGGCAATAAATCACACATAGCATTCCGTGGTTGCTGTATACGCAAAATTTGCAGGCTGGCTGCGGTTGCAGAGGTTTGGGGGCTCGGAGCAGCCTTCCTCGTCGCACAGACCTACGTCTGGTGGACTATTGATCAAAATTCAGGGTGGCCACAGAGAGAGACTACTGCAGATCAAGACTAACTACTGTTTGCGAAGTTATTATCATTGTAGGAAGATATGTGTATTGGTACATTTGTGGCAAAGCCATGATTTGATCTATAACACAATCAGCCTGTTCGCTGGTTGGTTTCTGGGCTGATAAGCTTGGCTGGTGCTGGTTTGTTATGAGAGGAAAATACTGTACAATGACTGATAAGCCTTGGCTGAAACCAATAAGCGAACAGGCTGAATATATGCTCATATGCTTGGTGACTGAAACCAGTACAATGTGAGTAACCCCCCCCCCCTCCATTTCACTTATGCCTGATTTGAAGTAACTAGATATGATAGATGTGAATATTTGAACCTTGCTGGCATTTTCACCAACCCTTGTCTCCGACGATTGTTTGTGGATGGATGGGACATTATAAAAGATTTGTAGTCTGTAGATTATTTCATGCTTGAGTGGCTGGAGAGGACATTATAAAAGATTTGTAGTCTGTAAACATGCTCATATGTTGAATTATTGATGCAGCAAGAAGCAACTGTGGGGCAAGGTTGGTGAAAATGCCTTAAAACGTGTTTGGATGTAGAATTGTAGATTATATTTAGCATCTGAATTTAGAATTGGTATTGGCAAACTCTAAACGCAGCTGTTTGGATGGTTAAGAATTCAGAATTGGAATTTGACCCCCAATACCAAGCAATATTCAGAATAGGATTCCAAAAGCCAATGTAATAGTCATCCAAATAACAAAGTTTGAATTGTGGGCAATTTCAATACCAAGGCTGATTCAATTCCTAGTCGCTGAATACACTAATTTTGATGCAACAGTGAGCATTTCATTTCATCTCATCATCCAAAGAAGAGCTTTTGAATGAAAAAGGAATCAATTCTGCAGGATGGCATGCCAGCTTCATCAATCAGAACTCAGAAAGCAGAAACGCAGCTTCCCAAAGTCTTGAGGCCAAAAAAAGCAATGCCGTCGAGGAGCTTCGCATAGGGCACCTAGGAGCACAATTGGACATGACATACATATCAATAACAAATGTACACCCAACGCAAATTGCTTTGCTTGCTTCATCATCCAGATCCAGACCGAATAACAGCAAGAAGCAGATTTATTCATTAAAATCGCTGACACAGGCAGGTATAACAAGAGCAAGCCGCAGCGTGCAAACACAGGCGGAGGATCGCAATGCGTGGCAGCGGCAGCAGCGACCGAGCACAACTTATCTCACCAATCCGTTTCAATCAATGGAAAGGGAACTAAACTAGTGTTGCATCGAGAACGAACATGAACCAAACAGGTTCTCTCTCCTTTAATTACGACCGACCGACAACAGGTCGACTCGATAACTCCCTCCCTCGCTCCCTCCCTCTGAAACTTCTCTCAACTCGAATCATGAACTTGATAGTAGCAAACACCTAGAGAGAGGGAGGGAGGGAGGGACAGAGAGAGGAACAAAAAGGGTCGATCCACGGAGGATCTATCTACTTGGCTGCCGGCGACGGCGGCCCGCCGAGGAGCGTCTGCTGCTGCAGCTCGAGGTCGTTGAGCTGCTGCTCCCGGTCCATCTCGATGATGAGCGGCACCACGAGCACCAGGAAGGTCGTCCCCGCGATCCACGCCGCCTTCCCCGTGCTCCGCAGCAGCTTCTTCGCCATGGCCGCCGCCTCGAGCCCGTGCGCCGCCACCTGCGACCGCGAGATGGCGGCCAGGATGCCGTCCCCTCCGCCGCGCTTGCTGAGAGCCGAAGACGGCGGCATCCTTCCTAGTCCTAGAGAGAGATCTAGGGTTTAGTGGGTGGCACGGCGGAAAGGGGAATGAAGGAACTCGGCGTCGGGGGCTCGGGCTGGGATTCCTACTTGTATTGTATGCTTGCGACCCAACGACCCCATCGGATATGGGCTTTCGTGGCTGGGTTGAGATTTATTTGGGCCTTTTAGCCCAGTTCAGGAGGACGGATGGTTAATGGGCCGGCCCAAATCACGATGTGATGGCGACCCCAGCCACGATGCGGGGGAGGGGGATCGACGCACCTTTTCTCCTCGTCGTCGCCTCGCCTTCCCCTTTCATCACTCGCCCCCTTGATGACGCTTGTTGGTTTGGGGACCTGGGAAGAAGAGAGAAAACCCCAGCCCTCCTCGTCTCCTCCGCCTCTCCTCCTCTTCGTCTTCCTAGGAGGCAGAGACAATCAATCTGCGAGATCGGCGAGCGAATCACGCATGCAGCTGTAGGATGGACTGGGGATTGAATGCCTCCCCCTCCTGATTGCAGTTATAATCCTTCCCATTCCTCCGCCCGTTCCTCGTCCACCCCAGTCCGTTGAAGTACAGGTGTGCCTCTCTTCCTTCTTATTCTCCTCCTCCTCCGTCACTATTCATTCATCTTCTCTTCGCGCGAATCGAATGTGGTTGATCCCCTGCCGATTGGCTTGTTCTAGCGCTTCAGGTCACCTTTTATTTCATTTCATTTAGTTAGGCACATCTTTCTTATACTGGTTCTTGAGAGGGTAAAAAAGACTAATCACTTCGAGTGCGATATAATCTTTCGGCTGCTTCTTGGAAACCCTAAGCTACCTCTCAGTTCACACATTGGGGATTGATATCTTATAATGGCCATTCTCACCTCCCTAGATGCTAAAGTCACGCCACTATTTTACTTTCTTGGGTTTTGCTTGCATCAGCTACTGCCAACAACAACTAGTACTAGTACTGTAGTAGTATTCCAATGCCATGTGTTTTGTGCAACTAGACTATTTATTTTGCCCAGTTAAGTGGCTAAGTGCCTGTTTGGTTTCCATAAGTCAGGTGTCTGTTTGGTTGTAGATGACTTATAAGCTCATTAAAGGTGTGGGCCCCACGCGGAAAAGGGTGACTTTAAGTTTTAAGCAGGGGTGAACCAACTTAAAACTTATAAGCAGGGGTGACTTATAAGTTGGTGGTGTTTGACAAAATAAATCACTTATTTCACTTTTTAACTTATAAGTAGGTAACTTATTTGGAACCAAACATGCCCTAACCATTTTCTTGCCCATGGTGCCCGCCACAGGCTGCAGTCTGACTGGGAGCAACCGCCATCATCCCTGTTCATCATCTCTGCCATCAACACCAACATGGGCGGCAAAAACACGGAAAGGGCCAGGAAGGCGTTGGACGCCATGAAGGAGCTCGGTATCTCTAGGAAGCAGGCCACCCCAGTACTCAAGGAACTCCTTGCCACCTTCGACAACAACTGGGAGCCCATTGAGGATGAGCACTACCGTGCCCTTGCAGATGCCATCTTTGCTAGGCAAGACAACAAACAAACCTCTCCCTCCCAACAGGTTATCATTCTCCTATCTACCTTGCTTGTCAACAGTTTATACCTTCCTTTCTTCTCCATTAACTCCATACTGCTGTAAATTATTGATCTTTGTATCAGGGCGCCCAAGCAGCCCATGCGGACTCGGAGCCAAATGGATCAACAAGGGATGATCTACAACAATATGTTTATGCTAGTCATGATGACACAGGTGAAGATGATAATGAAACACCCCTGGTCAAGAGGCCCAGGATGGGCACGGCTAATTTCAGGCCAGAGCCGCTGCCATTTGAGCCTGGACCACAGCAATCCGCTGTTTCAACCCAAGGTGCTCTGCCTGCTTCACCACAAGCCAGTCGTCGGCAAACTAGGTCCTTGACTGTAGTGCCACACGCTGCTGGCCATGAATATCCTTTAGCTGTCGACGATACTCTCATCGTGAAAGAACCCAAACCAGAACCCCAAATTGATATAGCAGAAGTCAGTGTTGGTGACCCTTTAACGGATCGAGATTTTCTGGCAGGTCCTGAGGCCATACGGCTCAATGCTGGATCTTCAGGTAAAGTTTGTCTTCTCAATGTTCTATAACGACTAGATGCGTCCATGCCTGTATTTGTCATTCCTTTAGCTTCAGCTGAATGTGCATTTTGTACATATGTTTATGTGCTTCATTTATAAATCAATCTGAATGCTACAGTAGGACCTCCCAAGTTGCACACTGTTACTTTTATACAAAAGCTATGTCCATGTTTTTATTTATCATTCTTTTTTTTTAGTTTCAGCAGAATTGTTCATTTTATACATGTGTTTATGTGCTGTATGTATAAATCAAACTGAAAGTTACATTAGACCTCCTATTGCACACTCTAAATGTTATAAACATGTTGTGTAAGAGCCATTTTGATCAATTCCCAAAGCACACAAAAATCCTATATTTTCTAAAACTTCTATTTGGTGCAAAACTATGATAACTGAACATTGCAAAACAAACTTCAGGTTCTGGTGCAAGAGGCAGCATAGTCAACCAAGCTCAAAGTATTGGCAGGAGCCTGCAACCAGCCCCAGTGTGCAAGAATGGGGTAGGGTCTACAGTTAAAAATACTAAGGAGACATCTTTTGTGGAAGTTGACGTTGCTTCTTCTGCCAATGGTGAGGTGAAGATGTCATTGAAATGCAGCTTGGATTCTTCAAATTTCACCATTAGTATGGAGGAGGTTTTCAAAATGGTGGAGGAGAAGTGCCTTCACTCATACAAGGTGCTACCTCCAGAATTTTCTATTGGCAAGCTGATGAGTGAGGTATGCCAATCTTATGTGCAGTTGGGCACTATGCATTCTGAGGTTAATAGGAATGATGGCAGCTTGCATAATGAAGTAGTTGCTCCTTTTGTGAAGCCAATCGCTTGTGAGGCTGCTGTGGGCATAAATCATAATGTGGCTGGTGGATCATCGGTGCCTGAATCCTCAGAACCCTGTTTGCAAAATTCACTTGTTACTTGGGATCCTGAGTTGGCTCATTCTAAGCAAAAGACAACCCATGATATTACTGATATATCCAAAGGGGAAGAGCGGGTAAGAGTACCTATAGTAAATGAATTTGGCAGCGAGACCTGTCCTCCATCCTTTTATTATGTTTCAAGAAATCTTGTGTTTCAAAATGCTTGTGTCAACATCTCTATTGCTCGGATTGGTGATGAAGATTGTTGTGCTGATTGTTTTGGCAACTGTTTGTCTGCATCAGTTCCATGTGCTTGTTCAAGAGTAACAGGCGGTGAGTTCCCCTATACACCTGAGGGCCTGCTTAAGTCAGCATTCCTTGATGAATGCACCTCAGTTAATCATTTCCCACAAGAGCAGCATAGGTTCTACTGTACAGTTTGCCCTCTTGAAAGATCTAAGAATGAAGCCTCACCTGGTCCATGTAAAGGTCATCTTGTCAGAAAATTCATTAAAGAATGCTGGAGTAAATGTGGATGTGGCATGCAGTGTGGAAACCGTGTGATGCAGCGTGGTATAATATGCAAATTGCAGGTATGTTAAGAGATTTGCAATGCAATGTTCCTTTCTAAATGGTAGTCCTCGGCAGCTTATTAATGTGCAATATTGCTGGTTCTGGTCTTCTCTAAAGGATGGCCATTGCATTGAAATGCCTTCATTTATGTGCTGCTATATGCTTATCATGTGTATTGCTTAGTTCTTCCCAAACACAAAAATTTACCATGTGTCTTTGCTCCATTCTTGAATTTTATCTAGTTGATGGTTCTTGTTTGTTCTCGCGATCCGGGCTTCAGTTCCATAAACAACTGTTCCTTTATGTCGCATTGTTACATGGTATAGGTGTTCTTTACACGCGAGGGTAAAGGCTGGGGAGTACGCACAGTGGAGGATCTCCCAAAAGGTGCCTTTGTCTGTGAATATGTTGGAGAGGTACTAACAAGTGCTGAATTGCATGAAAGAGCAATTGAAAATGCAAGAAATGGTAAGCATATGCATCAAGTACTCCTGGATGCTGCTTGGGGTTCAAGTGTATTGAAGGATGAAGAGGCTCTTAGCCTTGATGGTTCATTTTATGGGAACGTCGGACGATTTATCAACCACCGGTATGTTGGATACTTGCTCATTTTTTGTTGTAAATATTGTGCCATAATTTGTGTATTTCCCGTCTGCTGTCCACTACGTTTTTGGTAACAGTCATATGCTATGACTAGATGCTATGATGCAAATTTAGTTCAGATTCCTGTTGAAGTTGAGACGCCTGATCATCATTATTACCATGTAAGTGATCTGCGATCTTAATGGATTTGCGAAAAGAGCAAGTGCACTACATGCTAATGGTTTAATAATTGATGTTGCACAGCTGGCATTTTTCACGAACAAGAAAGTGGAGGCATTTGAAGAGTTAACATGGGTAAGTGTCATATATTTTTTGTTTTGTTTTTGGGGCCTCTGTTGGCATACATGTACGGTGCTGATTTCACAAGATAAATGTTTGGAATTGTGATTTCAGGATTATGGCATTGATTTTGATGATGTGGAAGGGCCCAGTAAACCATTCCGATGCATGTGCGGGAGTAGATATTGCCGTGATCCCAAGAATCCAAGTATGTTGCCATTTTCAGTGCTTAAAAGAAGCATTTCATTCGGATGTAATAAATGTGGAATCATGTATGTATGATGGTTTGTTTTTGGCAGGGAGGATGGGTAGAGCAGCTGCAAAGCTAAAGTAGTGGGGAGCCTGGACTTGGTTGGAGATGTGCACATCAACTTTTGCTGGGAGATTTGGTTTCGTATTTGATGGTGCAGCATCATCACCTCAGCTAGTATTAGTGTAGATATGGGAATGAGGGCGGATGTTTTGGACCCTTGCCGGAGGCTGAGTAACGCGAACGCGAACTAGTAACCTATGCCATATATTGGCATCTAAATTAGCCTGGGATTGAGTAGGCCTAGAAAGAACGCCTAATAATACTTGATTATGTCCATGTCATCTTGTTACAGGCCAGCAAGTTCAGTTACATGCCATGTTGGGTTATATGCTTGTGCTGAATGATTTTGTTGAAGCTGAGTAGCATTGGCCCTTGGAGCCTGGGGGGTGGACAAGTTGTTGCCACTTGGCTGTGCAATGCCAGACCGACACGTGCTGAGGTAGGGTCTGACGTGTCAGCAGGGCAGATGCCGTTGGTTACTGCCCAGAAACTCCTCATCTGCTGGAGTCGTTGCTGAGAGCGAGGCCACCAGACATTTCAAAGCCTCTCTCGGCTGGTGGGAATTGGAGATCGATTTCTTGGCGGAAAGAGCAGCCAGCCAGCCACAAGCAGTGTCGCCACTTCGTCCAGTGTGGTGTGGCTTCTTCCTCACCACAAGGCTCCCCTCCCCTTCCATCTCTTCTTCCATCCCTTAGCTCGTAGTCGGACCACTACCCACCACCAGATCACTCCTCCAAGCTTCAGCTCCGCGCTTCTCTTTTCTCTCCTATACGTTCTCGTTGCTGTTCGCCGCGGTAAGCTTAGCCCCAGCCTCTAGCAAGAGCGAGCGAGGGCAGAGGGCATGGCGGCGGCTGTGTCCTTCTCCCGGGTGCGAGCTCTCCCGACGTGGTCCAGCTCCGTGTCCGGCGACGACCACCACTCCTACTCCTCCGTGCTGGCGATGTCGTTGTCGGCGCGGCCCCGGTCCGGCGCGCGGCCGCTTCGGTCGCCGGCGCGGATGATGGGCAACGTGAACGAGGGCAAGGGGCTGTTCGCGCCGCTCGTGGTGGTGGTGCGCAACATCGTCGGCCGCAAACGCTTCAACCAGCTCAGGGGGAAGGCAATCGCGCTGCACTCGCAGGTCGGTCGCTCTCTTGGGTTCCTGCTCCTGCTCTCCGTCACTTGTCATCTCATCTCCCCCTCTTCAGGTCATCAATGAGTTCTGCAAGGCCATCGGCGCTGACTCCAAGCAGCGGCAGGGCCTCATCCGCCTCGCCAAGAAGAACGGAGAGAAGCTCGGATTCCTTGCCTGATCTATCTGATTCACGCCCACGATGACGATGCTACATATATATAAGTACTCCATCATCGAGTAGTGACGGACAATGATAATCGATACCTTCTTCGTTGTTCCAAATCCTCTATTAAGTGGTAGCTAGTACATGTCATTGGTGCGATGATGCTTCAATTCAGCTTCCGATGTTTGGTTGTCGATCAGCTAGCTGCTTGCTTGCTTGCTTCATTCCTGCAGAAATCACTGTTCCGTGTTGGACGTTGCATTCTTGCCAACTGGATGATGCACTATGCATCTTACTAAGCAGATTCACTAGGCCACAACATTCAGAACCACAACCACTGAAGATGATGCATCCTTCCTGTCAATAATGCATATAGTATTACGTACACACGACTATGAATACAAATCTTAGGAGGATTAATTCTATTGATGATCAGTTACACAAATCTTAGCTCGCACATTGTCGTCACCTCCGCCCTCAGCCTGCTCTGAGTTCGGGATGATGGTCTGGTCGAATATTCGTCCTCTCTTCTCCATCGCCCATTTCTGAATATCCGGGCTTCTGATTCTGTGATGACAACAAAGCTGCAGGAGGAGGCATTCTAGACGACGTCGTCTTCATCGTCGTCCTCCATGCTATGAACTCGTAGCTGGACTTGGCACTTGGCAGCCCCTCTCCCGTCCTCGTCCTCTTGGTTACTTCTTCGTCATTGCTGTCCCTTGCCATTCTGTTGAAAATTAATCTTAGTCTTAATTTAACCTATACATGATCACTAACTCTACTCAATGCGGAAATTAAATCTGAGGTATTGACGAGATCTAAGTGATAACATCGACACCTCTATAGTCTATAGTCATGTAGGTGATGTGGGTCTTCAGTCTTCACTAGATTGGAGCTTAATCCTTTTGGATGGTGGAGATCACGAAGTGGATCTGCAATGCAGAACTAGGACATGGATACCGCACTTTAGAGACCCTCCAATGCCTGTGGGTGTCTGGGTGACTCATTCTGAGCAAGCACTTTGGGCCCAGGGTCGATTCCGAAAAGGACTTAGAACTGTCACCAATCAAGGCAGGGACTTACCTAACCAGCCTCTAGAACATTGGGCGCCCTGCAATGGCATGAAGAACACAATGCTTTATAAGCTAACACTAGTATGTACAGTCATTCTCGGTTTCTCAATATCATCGTAGAGTCAGCACAGATTAGGATTGGTGTATCTATAAGAGGGTTGTTTTTTTGTCACTTGGGGGGGGGGGGGTAGCACCATTGTCTGTGCACACATCTGCATTTTTGTTCACTTGATAGCTGTTGGCTGTAGCAGCAAGCTCTTTGTTCAATGGATAAGTCCGTTCCTTTCTAGCCATTGCATACTGTACATCAATTGTCAAATAAACAGCAACAATAATGAAGCAATGTAAGAGGAACTACTTACATTGGTTAAAGTTGACATCTTTGTATGTCAGCATGTGAACCGCTAATCGTCTCTCCTGACATCTTCACACATATTGACAAACAGAGCAACCACATGAATATAAATATTGGAAGGGAGGGTTAAACAATCACAAAACTTTTCAATCAAAAGACTATTGTCGAGTCTAACCTGAAGTTGTCTGACATTCTGGAGTGGCAATTGAAGCACAAAAAAGTTCCTTGGTCGAGAAATTTCTATTTCACTTCAACTGAATTTGCTCTTGCAAAATTATTGGCATGGGCAACCACCATAAATAGCCTCCATGTAACACTACTTTAATTTAGTAGACCATGAAGGAAACTCACATGATTAGAGTCATCATTTATCCTCTGATGTGCTTTAGGGTGTGTTTCTCCCTTTCAGTTCTTGATTGAAGACCTCAAGTGCCCCGGATAGCTAAGATATAAGGGCAACACGACCCTATCACTCAAAGCTCTCAAGCTTTAAGGCATAACACTCAAGGGTACACTATAGTGTCTATCCTAACCTTGGATGTGATCTTGAATGTCTTGAGAGGGTGGATGCCTAGATCAAGTGTAACAACACTTGTTCTAACTTGTGACAGCCTTGGGGCACTCCAGCACATTAAAACAAGTGAGGCAACTCCATATTTATAACCCCATCCACCTCAACTACCCGTATCATTTCATGAGATATTTGACCATTGGTCTCGATCATTGCCATGGCTTTGGTCTTCACCGGATGATCCATCGGATTGCTGTGCTACACCGTATCATCCGGTGGCCTTGATCTTTTAGGTCTTCAACTGTTCTGGCTCTTTGATGTGTACCGGATGATCCATTGGGTGATTTTCTTCTTCACCGTACCATCTAGTGGACACAATTTTCCTAGTCGGCTTACAAGACTCCACCGTATGATCCGATGGGCCTAATGGCCCCGATCAAGTGATCCACTGCATATTTCGTCGAGGAACGTTTTGTCGTTTCTTCTCCGTTTCAATTTGGATCTTGATCAAACTTGAACCTTGCATCCCTAGGATATATGACAACATGTCTAACACATTTTTAGCGCACATGTTAGTCCTAAATTTGTGTTGCCATCTAAATCACCAAAACTAAAAACTATGATCATGGGCGCGTGATCATTACCACCATGGTAGACTGGTGGTTGACTTGTTATGTTATGGGCTTATGGTTTTGCACTCTTATACTTTATCATCTTATGAACCTTATGGTATGAGTTAAAACTATTTATTTGTTGGTAGTGTTGTCATGCTACGTTGTTAGGTTAGTATGTGAAGTCATGTTTTGTTTGTTCTATGTGCTGACGTTCATGTTGTCTTTTTTATCCGACCATTGTCGACACGTTTCCGCTCGAATTGATCTATTTTCGGTGATTCTCATTTTCGTTTCCTTTTTGGCGTTCCTGATTTCGATTTCGTTTTATGTAATAAAATGTAAAAGTGAAAACGGAAGATGGCATTCGATTTCATCCCTAGAACTCATTAATACCACATTTGTTTTATGCCCCACAACAAAACTTTCGTGAAATTTCATAGAATTAGTGGGAGGTCAATACTTTATTCCAACGGAATTTGTCAAGAAATTTTCTATATATTTCACTGTTCTAAATTAATTTTACGTTAGTTTTGGTGAAGAATTTAATGAAATTAACTTGATATGATAGATGTTAGTGTGTTTTTCAATAAATAAAATCAATTAAAACTAAAAAAGTTTGGGTTATGACAAAAGCGAAAGTGAAATATAATTTGGAACGGTGGTATAGCATTAAAATCCTTCATCATGACGTGGCCCAGCGCATTACTAAACGAATTTATCGAAGTGTAACAAAGGAAATTGTTATCCTTAGAAAAATCAGGTGAAGAATCGGTCACAAAAGAAAAGTGAAGTCGAAAAGATTATTGGACCGATACTCCCCTCGGCTGCTGCCGGGGAATTGAGGAAGAAGAGCGCTGGTAATCCATTGGTAAGTGCTCACCTACTATAAGCCTGTTCGAAAGACCGTATCATATTATGAATTATTTACTGCTGACTGATTTGATGTGAAAAAAAAACTATTCCCAACTAAATATTTACGATCGTTTACGAACAAGCGAACAGACAGATATGGTGCTCTGCTGACTGCTCTCGTAATTCAATGGTAATTAACTACTCACCTACTACGGTGCTACTAGTCCTCCTATCCAACAAAATGTTCTTATTAAATGTGCTGTCAACAGCAGCACCTGCCTGTCAAAATCAGTGATTAAATGTGCTTATTGGATTAGTACTAGTCAAGATCTCTCACTGATTCGCAGCATCCCCCACTATTTCTCCACGATCTGTTCCTTTTCTTGGCTTCTTTTCTCCAGTTGACTTGCTCCATCGCCTCTCCAGTCTACACGACTAGAGGACGGAGGAGGGGAGCTCTGATCGAATTCATCCAAGATGTCTGAGGTGGTGGCGATGGCGGGGCAGGCCTACATGAGGCAGCTGCAGGCGCACCCGCTGCGCACCAAGGCCATCACCTCCGGCGTCCTGGCCGGCTGCAGCGACGCCGTCGCCCAGAAGATCTCCGGCGCCTCCAAGCTCCAACTCAGGAGGCTCCTCCTCATCGCGGTGCGCTATTCTTCCTTTCCTTTCCTTTGCGTCTCATACCAGAGCAGTTTAGGCGTTCTTTTTTTGCGAATTACACAAGTACAACAGACGCTCGCTTTAATTGATTTGTTAACTGCTTATCGCCTACCCGAAATCCAGATCGGCCAGTGTTCTCACTCGATTCAGTAGTTTTCATCTGAATTTCATTTATCACATCAGGTCAATCGTTACCTTACAAGGTTTGTTGCTTGGATCATGCTGTATGCAGTTAGTGGAATTTATGCCTAGCTGGAGCACCACGGTCAGAGTGGCCCCTCAACACAAAAAATGCGTTTTTTCTTTACTTCGTTACGGGCGAATCCACATGATTGATGTAGGCCTGCTAGTGGGTTGGAAAATCCACATGATTGGTTATTACACTACAAACCAAAAGATAAGTACAATATGTGAAATATATAGGCTGATAGCAACTTCTACCGCATACATCCACGGATCACCAACAACTAGACTTCCATTTTCACTCACTGACAGACCTTGCTCGACATCAGAGAATCAAGCTTAGCCGTGACCTGCTAGTCTGTGGCTCAGCGACACACACAAATTTAGTAATCCCCGCCCCTGCCCCAACCCCCTGTATATTAGGCCATGTATCTTTCTTGTGTAAAGAAAACTTTCATATTATCCAAGTATGTGAGAATATGAGATCATATCTATGCACAGAGATTAACCTGATGGTAGATTGGCATCTCTCTGACCACTAGTTCAATCAACTGGACCAAGTGCCGAAAAAATGTCATAATTTACATATCAGCAATTCTGTTTGAATAGCATCTGCCACAATTCTGATTCAGTGGTTCTTATTTTCATTTGTTGGCGATGTCAAACAGCTATATGGATTTGCATACGCGGGACCCTTTGGACATTTCCTCCACAAGCTCATGGACAGGTTTTTCAAGGGAAAGAAAGGAAAAGAAACTACAGCCAAAAAGGTATGTAACTGTCTTTCTTTCCGGATGAACCATCGTGTTTTCTGACTTTCTCAAATGTAACTTCCTATACCTTTTTATTCCAAGGTCCTAACCTGAAGGACCATCATGACTAAGGTACCTCTTTTTTGCTCATTTGTCATGTGTAGGTCTTAGTAGAGCAGCTGACCGCGTCTCCATGGAACAACATGATGTTTATGATGTATTTTGGTCTGGTGGTTGAAGGTATATATATAATTTCCACTGGAAAGTTCTTTGTGTATCCCAATCCCAATAAAACAAGTTTCTGTCCATTGTTCAAATTTCCTTACTCTTTCAAAACCGGATCCAGACAGACAACTGCACATTGTATCACACAGTATAGAAACACCTGAACATGTTTTCTGTTGTGAGAAATAATCAGTATTTGCAATTTTCATGAATTCCAGGGAGACCATTTGGACAAGTAAAAAACAAGGTGAAGAAGGACTATGCATCTGTCCAACTGACAGCTTGGAGGGTATTCTGCTTTCGGTTGGGAAATTGATGCTTCAATCTATGGTTTATTTTCTAGTGACTTCCGGATTATTTTTTGCAGTTCTGGCCAATTGTAAGTTGGATCAACTATGAGTACATGCCACTCCAGCTCCGAGTTCTTTTCCACAGCTTCGTCGCATCCTGCTGGTAATGCCTACTTGTTTAGCAATTAGCATATTGTCATGCCGTTTGGCTTTGTCAGAATGGTGCTTGACTTTTGTTTGAATTTACTATCACAGGGCAGTATTTTTGAACCTCAAGGCAGCAAGATCGATCGCAGATACCAAGAAGGCATAGATGCAGCTATCTATACTAGGAGTGGATGCCATGATCTGAGTTAAAAACCCATATATATTCTAGGCTTCCGTTGTAACACCAGAATTCTTTTCCAGCAGGAGAGGGACTGAATTGAATTGTTTGGCATGAGAAGTTTTCTCCTTTTCATTTCAAAAGCTGTTGTTCTCTCTTCATTTCGAAAAAAATGTTGTTTGCTCGTCTCGTCGATGTCGTCATCATGTACTTCCAGTAGAACTTAGTTTGCGCAGAAAGAATATGTACTCTCTAATTTGTATCTAAAACATATATATTCCTCACATCGAATAACTGGATTGCATTCAACCATTGGAGGTACATGTACTTCATATATGATCGTTAAATATATAAGTCGATATGGATTTACCGGAACTCGAAACGAGTTTATGGTTAGAGAGAAAAAACAAACACATATTTCCAGGTACATTTTGTGTGAGATTCAAAAGTGTGACATGTGTCGTACGTATGGCTGGTAGGTTTGCTTCTCCACCTCATATCTCAGCCCTGTTCGCTTGAATTTATCAGCTCGGTTTATTAGCTAAAAAAAAAACATCCGCCGTCCAGAAAAGATTCTCTATATTTTGATAAACCAAATGTTTTAAAGTTTGATCAGATTTATAAAAAATACTACTAAATTCATTTCAAATTATAAGACGTTTTGGCATAAATCCATGAGACTTTTCCCCGTGTGCCATTATAAAAGATCGAAATCCCCTGTGTGTCCCTGAAAAAATTCAGCGGTCTTCAGCGCCACTACTCCAACTTTTTCGGATCCTCCATGCCACTTCCGTCAATTTAGGCTCTAACGCCGTCAAACTGCAGGTGTGAAAAGACGAAAATACCCTTAAGTTCAAATATGTTATTAATTTTTTTTGAGCATCTTAACGACTTCAAATGAAAAAACTTAAAACTAGAAAGTTGTAGATCTCGTCGAGATCTATAATTTTCATATAAAATTTATTTTCATTTAATTTCGCAAAAAAATATGATTTGATATGATTAATATATCTTAGAAAAATTATCATATTTTTTTTTGCGGAATTAAATGAAAATAAATTTTATATGAAAATTATAGATCTTGACGAGATCTACAACTTTCTAGTTTTGAGTTTTTTCATTTGAAGTCGTTAAGATGCTCAAAAAAAATTAATAACATATTTGAACTTAAGGGCATTTTTGTCTTTTCACACCTGTAGTTTGACGGCGTTATAGCCTGAACTGACGGAAGTGGCATGGAGGACCCAAAAAAGTTGGAGTAGTGGCACTGAAGACCGCTGAATTTTTCCAGAGGCACACAGGGGATTTCGATCTTTTATAATGACACACAGGGAAAAGTCTCTAAATCCATTCCAAACTGAGGGAGTAATATTTAAGATACAAATTAATATCATTAGATAATTATGAAATATAATTTTGTGATAAAATGATTTGAAGACATAAATACGAATACTATTTACTGTAAACTTAGTTTTTTTAGTGTAACTGTAAACTTAGTGTTTTTTAAGAAACAACTGTAAACTTAGTTGTGTTCTTTCATGGACGCAGGGAGTACAAACAATGCCGGGCTCTTTCAACATACTGGACTGGGCCTTCCCCTGCATCGAGGGCGTGGCCCGTTCTACAAGTATAACAACAAGTAAAAAGCCCAGCAAAGCACGCTTGTGGTGGTGGCGTCGTCGTGTCTCCCCGATCCCCTCTCGTTTCCTCTCTTCTCGTCGTCTCACCAATTCAAGATCCAATCTTTGCTGTTGCCACTCGTCGATCCGATTGTTCTCGAGCAAGGTCGGTGGCCATGGCTCGCTGCCGCTGCCACCTCCTCCTCCTTGCCCTCTTTCTTGCCTTGACTGCTGCTGCTCCGGTAAGATCTTACTTTCTTCTTCCTCTTTCCCTCCCGATGTGTCTCCACCTGCCGCTGACGGTGGTGCTCATCTCCTGTCCTGTCGTGTCGCGTGGTGGCAGGAGCAGGCGCAGAGTCATGGGGAAGCCTCCGCCGTCTTCATCGATGCCGCGTCGCACCGCTACCTGCGGGACCAGCAAGGCGACCACCAGGTTCTTTTGAGGAGTAAAAAAGAGGAACCAACGAATCTGCTTAGATCTGTTTTGACATTGAGCGTTATAGATAGCTAGATTAGTTACTTTTAAGCACTAGTTACCATTGGGTATTTTAGTCTGACATACACAACTACAGACCTCCCGTTCTGTGATCGTCATATTTTGCTGGCTAATATACATGGCATCATCGTGTTACTGCAGGACGCTTCAATGTCGTTAAATGAAGTTTCTGCGGCTGTTTCTGTCTTGCTTGGTTTTGCACCGTCAACCTCGCTACCAGCGATTTCTTCTTCGAAGGTTATTTAAACTGCATCCTAGAACCCGGAAAACTCAACATGCGTCTCCCTACACTGCCAGAATGCCTCAGTCTTTATTTTGTGATTTTCAGTTGAACAAAGTGCTTCGTCCTAACCCATTTGATAGACCACGTGCTGTTTTCCTTGTGCAAATTGCTGGGTCCGATGGTATGCCAGTTATTCTGGAATGCTTTGTATCAGTATTTACAGATTTCTGTTCATTCTAATCTAGCAACTAAATTTCCCTTCCTGCTTGTGTGTCAGCCTCAGCTCGTAGCTTCGTATCTGAAGGCAACAACATTTTCAAGACCAGGATTGAAGGTGCAAACAGCGCTGATGCAGGGTTTTCAGGTTTAACTGTCTACCTAGCACCTTCTTATTGTGGATTTGTACATCTCTCTCTGCTTCTGAACCTGGATGCCCCACTTCTGGGTTCTTGCTGTTGTTGACATATTCTTTTTATCCATTATTTACTTTGCAGATACGGATGATTTAATTGTCATTCATTCAGATGAATCTCTAGATCTTTCTCGATCAGATTATCTTGATAATGAACTTTCTAGCTTGGTAAGTAAGAGAAATGTAGCACGATGCATAACCTTTCTATTTACAAATTGTAATCGGTTAATTATTTTTCAGGCAAACTGGTTGGAGGGATCTTATCAGAAGTCTAGTGGCAAACTAGTCATTCCCTTGGAGAGTGGAAACAGTCTCACTTTGCTACTTGATAAGGTCAGCACTCCATCTATTGCACACAAAAATGCTTCCTACCTACCTTGCTGAACCCGCATAACTGAATATGTTTCCTACCTACAAGTGCACAGCTAGCATGCTGGCCCCCCTCCACCTCTGGATTGCATTTTTTTCTGTTACAGCGATACCATAATTTATTACCATGAAATGATATGTAGCAGTATGTATATGGGTAAAATATCTTACTGCATTTTATGTTATTATTATTTTTTCAAAAGTACTGTTCTTGCATTTTTTTTACATCTCAAGTCCTGTCTTCATTGCAACACATTTATTTACAGGAAGCAGACATGGAATTTGTGTCCAGCTTGGCTTCCCTTCTTAAGACTATTGAAAGGGCAATCCAGGTTCACGAAGATTTCTCAGGTGCCGTGAACCCTGCAGAGCTACTAGAATGCCACTTCACAGGGATAAAGGTAATTGTACAACAAAATAGTTACTTTGTAATTTTGAAACTGGGTGACTGATTTCTATTATATGAGTACCAAAGGCTAATCTGAAGCCTTGGCACTGTCCATGTTTACTCCACCCCTGATCTAATTCCATTGTGTCCTTGATGTACACTAACATGTAAATATGTGTCTCTAGTCTGTAATATGATTTCTTTATGTTAGTACTGATATGCACTCACCAATTTGATGGTTTTTGTAGGCTCTGGAGAATGAATACGGTTCCACTGAAATTGTTATGCAGGCAACCAAAATAGTTCAGAGAGCTGTCACCAAATCATTCCAGTCCCTACATGAAGCATACAAAGGTAGTTTACCAATTCCATCGAATATGACATGAAACATAAGCTTTTCCTCTCTTGTGAATGTCCAGTAGTCAACTCTTATGTGCTACTCACAATCGAGCCTTTTTTTCTTTTATTTTTCAACTGTAGGTTATGTTCTGTTCTCTATTCTATTGAATGAATTAAGAACTATAGCATTCGATAGTTTTGAAATTGTTGTTGCTTCATACATATCTTGTGTCTTGTTTGTTATTGTACAGAGATGGGATTGGTCCTTCCTACAGAGAATCCGTCTCTAGTGAAGTTGGATTTAAACTTATATTCCCTTGCTTCAAACATTGCAGTTGTTACCTTTTGCAAATTAATGCACCTTTTATACCTTCAATATGAGATAACATATACACTGACGACAATCTGTTTTTGGCTGTGACAACGAAATAAATAGGGAAAATTGTTGGGTTGATAATATCCACAAAGGAGTCTTCATCATCCTTAGGATCCATAATTGACACACCTTCTTCACTGCACATTTCAAGACGGCTAGAAGAAGCAAGCAAGACAAAAGAAGCCTCTGTGGCACTTGTTAGAAAGAGTTTGGCATGGATTACAGGGATCATCCTGCTTGTTTCAACTCTCATAGGGGTGAGCATAACAACTCCTCACATACCCTCCTGCATTAATATTATTTTGTCTTGGCTGTCCATACCCTAAACTGCTGTGCTATCTATGCAGATTTGCTTGCTTATGAACATGCCACTTACCAGGGACACCCTCCTGTACTCGAACGTCAAGATTGATTAGTTTGAAGGGTGTTCTCGGCCACACTTGTGGTTCAACTTTGGCCTGTGTAGTTATGGGATGGATTTTGGACTGTAGAGATGTATTCTTATGCTGTTTACAAAACCAGTGTACAACGGGATACTAGGTGCTACGTGCTTTTTTTTAATCTGTGCTGCACTGCTGCCTGTATGGGTTGTTTTGTTGTTGGGTTCCGGTAAATAATCCAGAGTGGAACAAACGATTAATTGTTGCAGAATGCTACTGCCTTTTCCGAATAAATCTGTGACGATTGCAATCGAATTTCAACTTGAATAACAGTGTACATGCTATGTTTGTGGCTGTCGCGGTGGTGGGCTTTCCTTGCAACCAAATCGTTGCATCTAGGGCTGGACGTTTGCTCTGGTTGGCTCGTTTACTTTTCTCAACTATTGTGCAAGTTCAATTTGTCTCCTTCAATCGGAAAATTGGATATTTAGGCCCTTAACTTTTTGGATTTTCGTAGTACCACATCAGCCACACGGGAGGTAAATTGGATTTTCGTGATAGTTTAGGATCAATTAGACTTAATAAAAAAGAATACAACAATAACAACATAACCTTTTAGCCCCAAACAAGTTGAAGTAAGCTAGAGTTAAAACCCCACCAAAGTCTCCCAAGCCACGGTTCAGGCACTTCAATAACTGCTTTCCAAATACTCATATTCAAACATAGATCGCTAGATATATCTAAGTTTCCAAATATCTTTGTATTGTCTCCCGCATGTTAATTTCGGTCTTCCTCTATCTCTCTCATATTATTAGCTTGGCTTAGGACTCCACAATGCACTAGTGCCTCTGGAGGTCTCCTTTGGACATGGCCAAATCACCTCAACCGATGTTGGACATGCTTTTCTTCAATTGGTGCTACCTCTAGGCGATCACGTATATCATCGTTCCAAACTCAGTCCATTCGTGTGACCGCAAATCCATCGCAACATACGCATTTCTGCAACACTGAGTTGTTGAACATGTCGAATCTTTGTAGGCCAACATTCTGCTCCATACACCATAGCCGGTCTAATCGCCGTTCTATAGAACTTGTCTTTTAGCTTTTGTGGTACCCTCTTGTCACATAGAATGCCAGAAGCTTGTTGCCACTTGATCCACCCTGCTTTGATTCTATGGCTAACGTCCACATCAATATCTCCATCCCTCTGTAGCATCGATCCTAGATATCGAAAGGTATCCTTCTTAGGCATTACTTGTGTCGGTGCAGAAAGTGACCAACACGTAAATATTTATAGTTTTGCTATATGTTGTGATCGGAGGTGGTCTAGCACTCAATGACACAAGATTTATACTGGTTCAAGCAATGTGCCCTACGTCCAGTTTGAGTCGGTCTGTGACTTTATTCCTGAGCCCAGGTGCTCGAAGTTTGCTGTGGGGTTACAAACGGAAGGGAGAAAGATGGGGGGTACAAGAGGTCCGGTCGAACTCTGGTCTGAAGGGCCGAGAGTGACGAGAGCTCCGCTATGTGCTAAGTGTTCGAGCGTGTGCTCGAGATTTGCACCTAGTGGTTCTGTTGTGGTGTGTGAGTGAACTGAGAGGTCTATCTGTTGGGAGAGAGCGCATCCCCTTTTATAGATGAAGGGGACGACCTTACAAGCGAGAGAGAGAGCACGCATGCTACTAAGTTTTGTTGCCCACGCCATCGGGTACAAGATGATTGTAGGCGCCCATAACACTGCTAATGTCAGATGCATGTGGGAGGTTCGTCTTCTTCTGGTAGGGCAGACGTCGGTGCCTGCCATACTGTTGATGCTCAGTGGTATGTAGGGGGTTTTACCATGTTTGCCTGGTATGGTAAACGCCGGCGCCCACAACACTGTTGATGCCGAGAGGCATGTGGGGGGAGCCTTACCATGTTTGTCTGGTATGGGAGTTGATGGCGCCCACAACACTGTTGGGCAAATGTTGGCGCCCACAATACTGCTTGGGTTCTGACATGCCAGGAAGGTTGCAGGGTACCCTTCTGACATGCTTTGTTGGTACTGTCCTGCAGGTGTACATGGTACGGTCCTCGGTATTACGGTTGACTTGAGTGCTCTGACTTATTTTCTCTGTCCGTTTCCTGGTCCTCACCGAGCGGGCGTCCCCGGTCGGTTGGTCCCAGTCGGAGAAGAGCTGTAAGCAGGGGTTCAGCGCATCCCCGGTCGGAGACGCGGGTCAGAGTCGAAAGTGGTTTTTGGCCAGACCTTCCGGTCGGAGAGGCCGTCCTAGAGGTGGGCCAGAGTCGGAAGCGAGCGCTGTTCCTCCTTAGAGAGGTTTTTTGGTCGGTGAGGCGGGCCGGAGTTAGAAGCGGGAGCCGTTCCTCCTCGGCCAGGCCTTCCGGTCGGAGATTTGATTGCCTTTCTGGCCTGTCGTTTAGGTATTTGGGCCGTCCCATGAGTTGCGCATCGTTCACAAAGTTGTCTGCTGGGCCAAGCCTTTATTGGGAAGCCGGTCTATGAGGGACCCTGGGTTTATGAACCCGACAGGAGCCCCCGAGCCCCCGGACGATTCAGGTAGAATCGTCTGGGGGATTTTTGTCTTGGCGGTGCGAGTGTAGCCCCCGAGCCTCCGGGCGATTCGGGTAGAATCGTCTGGGGGGTTTTTCGTGTTGCCAGCAGGGGAAGTTTCGTTTCGTCAGCGGGTGCGCGCGAGCGCACCCGCGGGTGTAGCCCACGAGCCCCCGGGTGATTCGGGCAGAATCGCCTAGGGAGTTTTGTTAGCGGGCGTGAGTGTGTGCACTGTAGTGGGCGTAGTCTCTTCTAACCCATCGTTTCTAGGAGCACGGTCCTAGGTGTTTGATCGCGGTCGAGGGATCAAGCGAGATGGAGTCATGGATCCAGACGTCGGGCGCGACAAAGGATCGAGCGAGACGGAGTCGCGGATCTAGGCGTCGGGCGCGACGAGGGATCGGGCGAGTCGAAGTCGTGGATCCAGGCGTCGGGCGCAACGAGGGATCGGGCGAGTTGGAGTCACGGATCCAGGCGTCGGGCACGCCGAGGGATCGGACGAGGCGAACTCGTGGATCTAGGCGTAGCCAAGGCGTTTGGGTGTCTTGAGAACCTGAGCTCCGTTGGGCTTGGTAGGGGTCGGTTGAGTTTTGTGCGTTACCCCATCCGCGGTTTCTCACAACCGGAGGGGCCGAGCTAACGTCGCTTGCCTCGATGGCTCGAGGGATGCACTCGGTGAGCTCACTAACGGGTATGTTCGAGTGATGTCCGGGTCCGTCGTTCGTGACGGGGTCGGCATAGCCCTCATGTGGCACTTCACTGCTCCTTAACCTGCAACCTGACAGATGCCTGGGTCGTTCCAGAGACCGACAAGGGTGGCCCACTGCACTCCCTTAGATGGAGATTCTGTGGGTTTGGCGGGAGGTTAGGATCAAATGAAAAGGTTTGAGATGACCCTGTCTGCTTCGGGGCAGACTAGCGAGGGCTGTGGTAGAACCTCCTAAATTATAGGGCCCACATGCACCTGTCACTGTACAATGACCTCTGACGACTATGCATATGTTCCTGATAACTTAAGAAGACTGTTGGGTGTCCTCGGGAAACCCTAAATCATCCACGATTTCTGAGCAGGATCCCATTACAAAGTCATTGCAGTATTACAATAGTTTATTCAAATATATACATCAGAGTAATATAGCGGAAGTCTTACAATAACTTAGTTTACAAAACATTTATTTTAAACCTTTCAAACTAAGTTCGATTAATAATACAAATGGTAGCAGTGGAGTAGCATTATAACATAAAACAAAACACACAATAATTTGGATATAGAACACCCGTCCTATCTTCCTTTCATCTTTGCCTTTCTGAGCATTTTGATTGTTATTCTTGTTCTGTGCCTGACCCTGTTGTTGATTTACAGGGGCCTTCTAATAATTTGGATTAGACTGCCTTGGATACGGACATTCTCTCGAGAAATGACCAGGCTTGCCACAATTGAAATAGGGATACTTATGACCCTAGGGTGTTGGAGCAGAAACCCCAGAAGCATTTGTCGGTTGTGGATTCTGATAAGTTGTAGCAGGGCGGACATTTGATTGCTGACCGGCTTGAAACTACGGTGGACGATAAGGAGGACGATTATGATTTACTGGATGATAAATCACCCTCTACCTCTTTTGATTTCCCCCAAAAGATCCAGACGACATACTCTTTTTCTTCTTGAGCTCCTTATGCTGCCGATACTTTGCCTCTGAAGCAATTGCAATATTCACTGACTCATGATAAGTGACATTGGTACAAGTTGTCATCATAGTCTGCAATTTGGTATTCAGATCTCTCATGAATCATTTCTTTTTCTTGGCGTCGGTGTTGACATGTTCTGTTGCATATTGGGACAAATGATTGAATCTTCCCACATACTGCATAACCGTCTGATCCCCTTGCTTCAAAGCAAGGAATTCATCCAGCTTCATAGCTATAACTCCCTCCGGGATATAATGGGCTCTAAAAGCAGTACGAAACTCTGTCTAAGTTAATGGAACACCTGCGGGTTGCATGGCCATAAGATTCGCATACCAAGCACCGGCTGCACCTCTAAGTTGCTGAGCAGCAAAGACTGGTTTCTGAAACTCCGTGCATGGAATGAGATCAAATTTCTGCTCCATGGTCCAAAGCCAATCGTCAGCCTCCAGTGGTTCATCTGCCTTGGTGAATACCGGTGGCCTTGTGTCTGTAAAATCAACATATGTAGCCTCCTGCCTGTTATGATGGCGACCATGATTTCCTTGCATCTGATTCTGATTACTTTGAGCCATCTCATGAAGCAAACGAGAATTTTCAACCGTCACATTGACAAGTGCGGCTATATCATCAGCCAGATTTGTTGGAACTGGTGGCAGATCTGGAATACCGTCCTCATCTTGTGAAGTACCAGGAATATGCGAACCCCACGTACGACGCATCTGCTCATAGCAAACCAAACTTTACTCACAAGTCTTTATTGAATTGCACAAAAGCTTACTCCAGACACATTACATAGGGT